ATTCTGAGATAAATCTCAAAATTTCTGACTTTTTTGGGAGAAATATATATATATATATATATATATATATATATATATATATACACATTTGAACTTGATATGTTGTCATATTTTGCTTCCAACTCGAGTCTGAAAACTTTTCTGTTTCCGTCAGAATGGAATCAAATTGAAAAAGACGTCTGAGGAAGGTGAGGAAGAGGAGGGAGCGATCTCCAACAAAAAGCCTCGGAAATCCCTGCAGAACAAATCCAAACTGTACGGTCGCTTTGTGAAGGTAAAGGTTCTGTCTTTGGGGCGGAGCTCCGGGGTCGTAGGTCAACGTTAGAGGGTTAAACGTCTTGGTCTGTTCCAGTCGGCCACGCTGCTGTCCGGTCAGGAGGAGCCGGAGCCGAAGGCCCCCAGTTCAGACAGCAGCAGCTCAGATGAGGAAGAGGAGCAGAAACTGGATCTGTCCAGCAGCACCAGGTAAAGTCTTTCATTACCACTGAATCCCAGTTCATCTCCAGTTCAGGTGGAAAATTAAAATGGAAATAAATTATTTTTTCCTTCAGAATTTGACACAGAACTCTGAACAGTAACAACATGAAAGACGTTTTCCCCATCATGCTGTTTTCATCTTTCCCTTCATCCAGACTGGTTTCCTGCTGCTGAAATCAGCAACATAATGAAAACATCAGAGTTCAGTCAGTTTAAGCAGAACAGAAACTCTTCAGGGGTGTTGTTTAAGTACAATCCAGACATCCAAAAACCAAAAACTAAGACAGGAAAAACTCAGGATGTTTGTGTCAAGTTTAAAGGGAAAACATGAATTGAATCTGTTCTGGAACTACGGCAGGCTGTAAAACCATAAAACCCAGAAATACCTTTTTATTTATGGGATGTCTGGGTTTTAACTGTTTTAATTAATTACTCCTGTTTCAGGTTTTCAGATTAAAATCTAATCTTTTTCTTTTCTTCAGACTTTCAGACGCTGATCTGATGAAGGTTTGTGGAGGACGAACGGCTCACAAGTAAGTTGAAAATTAAAACCAAATGGATCAAATCCTGAAGGATACAACAGCATTTTAGGGCCACAGTAGATAGAAGAAGTGAATTTCCATCAAAAATTTCTGAAAATTTAGAAACTGTTCAGCTTTTGAAGTTTCTTCTAGAAAATTTCAGAGATTAATTTCAAATCGCTGCTGTAAAAGATTGAAGCTCCATATTAACCAACGTTTCTTTATAAATCCTGTTGTTTTGCTTCAGAGGCGCGCGGCACGGTCTGACCATGAGCGCCAAGCTGGCCAGACTGGAGCAGCAGGAAGCAGAGTTCCTGACCAAATATGGAAAGAAGAACCAGACAGGAAGTTCTCCAGCAGTTTGTGACACAGCGACTCATCCGGAGGAGACGAGCCACAAGAAGAAGAAGAAGAAATGCACAGAGAGCTGTGGTGAACTAAACGGTGATGAAAGTCCTGAAACACGTTTTCAAGCAGAGAAGAAGAAAAAGAAGAGGAAAGATAAAATGGAGGGAAGAAGAGAGGCAGAAGAAGAAGAACTGATCTTTGGAGGAAACATTGAGGATCAGAAAGAAGATGGAGGAAATCCGTCTGCTGAGGAAACTGAGCCGCTTCCCTCTGACTGCAACAGGAAGAAAAAGAAGAAGAAGAAATCTGCTCAGCATGATGCTGACCCTGCAGAAACTGGGCGCAGTCCTGAAGAATCCAGCCAATTAGATCACAGATCCCAGCAGAAAACAGAGGTTATCATGGCAACAGAGATGCAGAGAAGGAAAAAAAGCAGAAAGGACAAATCAGTGATGGAGAAACCTGCCGACGACGAGGAGCTTCCTCCAAAGAAGAGGAAGAAGAGGAAGAAGAGCGATGGTGGATCAAACTGAGGCGCCGGTTCTGACCTGTAGACCTGGAACTACTGTCCGGTTCTGATACCTGAACCCGACCCAAGCTAACGGGAGAGAGCCTTCAGAACCAGAACCTTCAGAACCAGTTTAATGGTTTTTATCTCTGCTGGTAGAAAGTGAAGCTGCTTTTCTCTGCAGGTTTTTTTCTGTTTCCTGGATTTTTAACGAATCATCAGAATGAAATCTGGAGTTAAAATGAATGAAAAATGAATTTTACTGATGGAAACATCTAGAAAATGTTTAGATTTATGAAATAAATGTGAAACTTTCTGATGAAATTAATTTTATCCTCACTAAGCATCAATAATTTGCATGAACCTCATTTGTTTTAGCAACATTTCCACCAAAAATTAATAAGATTGATTATAAAATATGATCAACTGGATTCATAAAAACTAGTCTTTTTTGCTTATTCAGGTTTAGATGCAGTTTTTTTTATAACTGGAATGAGGGACTGGAATAAAACCCATTAATTAATAATCCACAATCGGCATCAGTGCTGGTTTAGTTTAAATGCCTTTTTGTGTCATGATTAAATATTGTATATAAATATTATAACACCTGTGCCAGGTGTTGATAACTTTCAGCGTACTGATTCCTGTGGGCCGGCCTAGTCAAAGTCCAGGGCTGTTTGTAGTCTCAGTCTGTCTCTGCTGGAGCCTGTTGGTGTGTGAGGGGAACCGACCCGACCCGATCCGACCTCAGTCAGAGTCAAACAGGTTCCAGTTTTCTGAGGCAGATCTGGACCCAGACAGGCTGAAACACGACATCAATAAATGAGTTTTATTATTTTATCTGCAGATAAAAATTATGAAGCTAAAACAAGCAAACAAATCATAAACTAGCTGATTACAATCATGTAGTGACAGAAATCAATCAGAGGCAAAAACATTTCAAACTAATGTAACCAGGTGAAAAATGGGTACATGTCAAATGTATTTTGTAAACCATGTTTTGCTTTTATTTCACCGACTGGTTGTAATTCTTGTTTTTGTCAGCATGTGGTGCTGTTGTTACAGAGAGGTCTAAAATTACCGGAAGTAGAAAAAACCTCGTTTATGTACTGTGGCACTAACTGGTAAAACGGAAGAGAAGGACATTTTTTGATCCGAGACCTGGTGGAGAAGAGACTCTATGGCCACATGAGAGAAGAATCCAAGTGTTCGGTAATTAATGTTGGAACTGAATTATCTTCCGTGGACAAAGCTACAGAGATGATGCTAATGTCATGTTTTTCTGTTTGTCCTCTTCTAGAGGTGCCACTGCCGTTTGTTCAGCCGTGTAAGCCATTATATGCTGTTCGATTTCAGCTTTTATGTGAAGCTGCGTTCTACTCTGTTGAGTGCTAACCGCATTGTAAGCCCGCCATTTCACTGAAGCTAAAGCTTTCTACCGTTCGAAATACGGGCCATTTATTTCTCCATATATTGAATCTCATTCTTTTATTTTTCTTACACTCACGTTTTTTTTGAGAATAAAGAACCCCTTCTATGTGAAGCTCCGTGTGCTTTATGAACCCCGGCTTTACACTAAAATACAATAAATAATGAAAAACTTTATTAAATTCTGTTATTTCAGAAAATATTAAGATAAAAGACTTCATTATAGAAAAGCTTGGTTTAATTATCAAAAGTATTTTTCAGTTACAAGCAAATTATTTATCTTAAGTCAAAGTTTGGTTACAATCCTGTCCATTTTTGTCGTGGAGATCAATAATAACTATTTATAATAAGGCAAATATTGAAACTTACAGCCTTACATGAAAACAATAAATGTTTCTGTCATCAGGATTATTACAAAACAAACTATAAAAATCTATTATAATTTGCATCACTTTAACTAAATGGGACAATAAAACAAATCAAACTGAATCAAAGTAAAGAACAATCATTGTTTAAGGATTTATGGAAACAGACTTTAATAGCTCTAAATAAACTTGATGTATTATTACTAAGAATGTCATTAATGAACAGTTTAAATATCAAGTATCAGCAAAGCAAATCCAGCAAAAATATCACACTGTAATTAACATTTACTCTATGAAAAAAAGTAGATCCAAATATACTGAGTTAAATTATTTTAGTTCTTGGATTGTTTTCCAAAAAAAACCCAACAGTATAGATGTGTAAAAACACAATTATACTGACTGAATAGTGAAATGATCAGAAAATAAAAATTAAATATATTCACGTTAAAGTTGACAGAAAATTCTGGTTATTTATATAAAATTTGTTGATCTGGAAAAGTTGCAGCAGAAAAAGGAGGAAATAGAAACAGATTTAATTAAGAGACACTTTGAAGGCTTTCTGTTCACAGAGGGGGGAGCGTGCGTATGTATTTGATACTGAGTACCAGCTCGCTGTGAGATTCGCATATCGATACATGACTGCATAGTCATGATCAGAGATCGGGTAAGACGGGCGCCAGAACCTTAAAATGAGAAACACAAACATCAGGAAGTGTAAAATCAGATGTTTTTAATTTATTTTTCTTATTACTTTTTTTCTGTGTGTGAAATCTCTTACTTTAGTGTGTCGATACGACCATCAATCCAATACCAGTTATTCCCACTTCTATAGAGCCCCAACCAGTGGAAAGTCTTCATGTTGTCATAAATTAATTTCTGTTAATTACAACATTGAAAATTATCAAGTCAACAGAGTTTTATCCCATATTTAAAATCTGAATTTGTAACATAATTGGTGTCAGAGCTCACCAGTTCCTGCAGATTATTAATAATAATCAGATCAGCAGATTTATCCCAACAGTACCGACGACTTTCATCCCAGGTCCACCGAACATTACCGAAATAGTAGCATGAATCATTGAAGAAGGTCCAACTTGTCTGACACAGCAGACACTCTGGAGACAGAAAATAATTATACTAATTTAAAAATAATATTTAAAAAAAATGTCCCTTTGTAACATGGTTCTACTGTTACACTAAGATTTTATCAATATTTATTGATTCTTGTTTGTCAGTTATAATTATAAATGAGCTACATTTATTTGATCGTATGTTGTTTTTTTATGAAACGTTTACTTTGCTCTTTATTTGTTCTTAACCATGTAGGATGTTTAGAGAAATGACTCAGTTAGACACTCACCACTGCCATTGCAGTGTTCATTTATCAGAAAGGTGTTGAATTTCTGGATCAACTGGATTTTCTGATTCATGTTCTCAGTTTCGTTCTGTGATTTTTCATTTAGGTTTTCCACGTGTCTGCTGAGTTTCTCAGTTTCGTTCTGTGATTTTTCATTCTCAGTCTTCAGATTTTCAGTCTGTTTCCCCAGATCAGCCGTCTCTTCTGAGTGTTTTTTTATGGCTTCATCATGTTGGTTCATTTTCCAACCGGCTGTAAATGAGAGGAAACGGATTATAAAGGAAAAATCAATACAATACAAGATTTATTGTTGTAAAATATTTAAGTTAAAGAACAGTAACAGATTTCATAGGAAATTATTAGTTCATACAGATTACAAGACGGACATGTTGGTGGCATCAACTCTTTGGTTGCTTAGCAACAACCTGCTGGATAACGACCAGTTTGAAGTCCAAAAGTAAAATTTCACCCAAAGCTTTAATGTAATTCTGCTTTTAACAAGTTTATTTTTATTCAAATCTCCCTTCAATCAGACTACATTTATTTTTGATAATCTGAAAGTGTTAATGCTCTTGTAGATTTGTTGAATTTTGTTAACATGAAAATAGCTGCCAATGACAACACCACATGTACAGCCAAACCGGTTCTGCTCAACTGACCAAATTAAATACGGTGAACAATGCCCACTGGATCAGTAAGGCTGTGTTATCCAACTTATACAGCTTTCGATTTAGCAAAAGGGAACTAAACAAACTATTCTGAAGGAGTCAGCACATTTGGTTTTTCCTGATCTTCTGACATTCGTTATCTAACATGATTGAACTTATTGATATCTGACAGGTGTGTTATAAAAAATTTTGCATGACAAAAAAGCAAAGTTTGGACTAGTCGTTATTTAAATTGATTCAAACTCAAGTCACACATTTAATGACTTGTCTCGATAAATTCACAAATGATTTAGGAACTGACTTGGACCTTTGTAACTTGGATTGAACTGTTTGTCTTGAAAAGACATTAAACAGAAAGTGCGTTCCAGAGGAATGGAGGGTGCTTCATTTGCCAATATTTCCTCCTCCTTTAGCTTCAAAATGAACACTGCATCAATACCGTCACTGCACCTGACGCGCAAGAGCGCAACCACACCTCCAAAATGCTTCATATGCATATCATACAAAACCAGCACAAATCTGAACCACACAAATACAGGCCACACGTGGGTAATGAGCATTTTGTTGGTGTTGTGTTTTTTGTTGTTTTTTACGAATTAAACTAAATAATAAAGACAGGAAAGCAAAACCTACCCCGTGTGGTCCACGGGACGTGGGGGATGGAGACTCCCTTGTTGAGGTGGTGTGTCTGTACAGCTGCAGGCGCTACTGACTGCATCAGTCATGTTGTTTACCTACTTTTAATCTGCATGCTAAAATGACAGGAAAGGCTTTTACCGTAGTAAAGAATTCCTGTCTCTACTGTCATCCAATGCATCAACAAGGTGTGCGTAAAATTTGAAAAAGAAAGAAAAAAACTCCATGCAGCATTACCCAAACGCATACACCACTATGCAGCATCTCTCCACAATCATCCTTTGTCACTTTGACAAAGACTTTAAATGAACACAGAAGCAAAATGTCTTCTCAATTTTTATTAGCATGCATGGGTACAGTGACATGAGCGCAGCAGGGAGTTGTAGAATAGAATAGCATATATTTTATACGTAGTTGTCACATCCTTCATCCAGGTATCCCGTCGCCAATTTGATAGGCGAAAGCAGCTTTCTGCTTCATTGGTCGAATGTCAAAGAACAGCGATTGCTAGGCATTGCTGTATTCATGGATTTAAAAACAAAGGTGATAAAACAGTAAAGAGAAGTTTTCATTGCATCCCATGAAGGAGAGCAAACTTTTTGACTCTGATCACTTTATTAGTGGTAAAGGTATTTTCAAAGTTTCTAATAACTAATATGTGACGCTGTCAGTCGGTATTTTAAGGAACTGATTGCTGTAAAAATGCATTTTGGAGGGAAACCTGTAGACCTTTGACAGATCCATTTGCACAAAGCATGAAATGTAACTATAAAATGTAGTTTTGCAAATATACATTTCTTCTTGCTGTAAAACCTGTGTTTGAGCAAAAACAATCTATCTTAAAGCTGTGAGCAGCCTCATACAGCTCAGGGCCACGGCAACCGCTGGAGCTCCAGGACCACCATCCCATTGGCGTCATGATGCTCTCAACCCATTCACACGTTTGTCCACTAGGTGGCACATTTGGTGAATCTTTCAAATGGTCTTTAGTCAAGTTCAGTGAAAGTCCAGCAGCAAGTCTGTAAAGTTTGTCCAAAAACCGATCTTCCACAAAGAAGTTATGTTCACTACCTGTTTTATGGTGAGTAATTGGTGAGGACTTCCTTTATGCTTTTAAACATTACATGTGGTTATAAAGAGATAGTGGACATGGTTTCAATCTTGTATCACACGCAGGGAGAAGTTGGAGGAGTCACCCAATAATCTTCATTTTCTTCTCTGAGTGGGCGTGGCTTAAATGATGTAATCTAACTTCCACACCAGTGTGTGTAGCAGTGCACAAAATACACAAAACATCTGGTGGCGATCGGCGCACTGGAGTCTAGATAATCCTATTGGCGGTGCCTGTCAGGCTGCGAGGCCTCAGCCAACTATCCCCTCTCAATGGATGGTTGTAACTGAAACTGCAATTTCTTTGTCTTCCTGACAATGACAATAAAATTCTTCTGATTCTGATTTTTAGAGGTTAACAAAGGTCATTCATATCCAGTTTGGTGCAAATCAGATTATCTATGTGTGATTTAGATCCAGCCGTATTCTAAAGGCGAGGCCGAATTTGCTATTCGGCCATGCCCACATGGTTCAGCTACCAGCCGATGTTCAGAGAACAATTTAGCCTCAATTTAACATTTAAACATTAAACACTTAATGTTTAATGTTGTCATTAAACACATGTTCGAATCTTAACGAATTGTAGAGTAAAAGGAACAATATCTGTGTAAGTTATTGAAACTTGAGGTTTCATGG